GCTTGCGGGTCGCTGACAGACGGAGAATTTCGCAGCACCGCATGGTTGCGTGCAGGTTCTCCTCGCTGGACACCGTGTGGGAAGCTTAGCTTGTCCACTGAATCCTGAAGAAGTTCTCCAGCTTCTGTGTGGGGTGCTGTTGATGCGAAGTTCGGCAGCGGTTCAGGCCATGCAGGCTATCCAGACAGATGCCAGAAGAGGTGACCAGGCCGGCTGCCAGATAGTCGGCATTCAGTGTATCATGTAGTTGGGAGGATGTCGAGCCAATCTACCACTCCAAGAATGCCAAGTGCGTTGAAGCACAACACCCCGCTTTCTGAATACCGAAATACCGAATCCCTGCTTCCACTCAAAGGCAATGTGCCTGGTCTGAAGCTCTGCGTTTCACCCAAACAACATGGAATCCTCCGAATCTAGCTTCCGAGTCACAAGCCCGACCTGTGCATCCCATGGAACATCTCCAATCGCAGTCTCACAGCTGTCAGCCCCAGGGCTATGTCGGACCGACGTTGGAGGAGGCCCTCAGGAAAAGCTGAACTGATGGTTTTGGAGTTTGCGCTATGCTGCCGCGAGAGCGCCGGGCAGTGGGTCTCCGAAACCCACAAGATTGCAAATTTGTCGCGCTTCGACAATCAGAATCTGCTTAGTTAAAGATCAAGAATCAAGAGAAAAGAGAGGCGTGTCTTGATCTGGCAAAGCAATGCATAGGCGGAAGTGAAGTGGACTGGTCTTATCAGGGGGTGTTGCCATGCTCTTGCACGTGGGGCAGCCAAAGATTCAGGGGTTGTTGCAGACAGCCGGCCGATGTGTTCTCGTCAGGCTTTGCCAGACGGTACCGACGCGGCGCCCGCAATGATTTCGGCGCGTTTTGACGGTGGCAAGATGGAACAGAAGTTTCGGCGAGTGCACAGGATCCTGCAGGCACGGCTTTCGCATAAGTTAGCATGTTCACGTTTTTGCTTGCTGCGATCTCCCGAGAATTTTGGATTCGAAGCATTTGCACCATAAGTGACACAATCTGGAAGGATCACAACTTTCCAGTGCGGATGGTCGCAGCTGGAGGTGGTGACGATTTTGGCAGGTCTACAATGAAGTATCTGAGCGAGCTTGACGAGAAGGGTGGCGTGCTGATTTGTGTTTGCACGGCACATTATGCTGAGAAGACCAAGTCACCCTTCAGCACTTTCCATGAATTAAAGTATGCACAAGACTACAGTCTGGATGTTCTGCCGCTGAAAGTGGCAGACGTCTATCCCCCACGACCGCCAAGCGGTCCAGATCATCCCAACGACAAGGACGGCGAAGCGCAGGCCGTGATCAAGATGGTCTTCAGACCCAACATTACGTTCAAGGACCCTTCGATCTCGTCAAGAAGACTTTCCTTCTTTTCAATCTAGGGAAGATGCATTCGAAGTACATACCTAAACCCTAAACCCTAAACCCTAAACGCTAAACCTGGGCAACTCAGGACTGCCGTGACCTAGATGAGATGAAGATTGCTCGAGTGATCGCAAAGAAATTGCTGAAGAAGCGGAGCCTCGCTGGAGATGTCACTGCGAAGTTGCGATGACCGGTGTTATTGGTACTGTAACAATATCCCCCCATACAGTCCCTTTTTGCACTACAGTACAGTATATCCTATAAAGGCCCTAGGGCAGGGTCGCCGGACCTTGAACCACGATGTTACAAGAGAAGCCGAGGCAGGGCACAGGAAACAGATGCGAAGTCAAGGCACGCATTGGCCACCGCCTTCATAGCTTTCGACAGGGTTTCGGGGTGGAGCGGGGGAAAGGGGGGTATATCATACTTTCATCATAGATGGTCTGAGGGGTTTCAGCTCGATCCGGCAGGGCGGACCGTTGCGGTTTCGGGGTGCAGGGTGTGCAGGTGTACGGATGAGGGCGCTCTGTCAGGTCGCTGTCGCCGCGCCAGCAGCGACGTGCCTGTTCTGCTTGCCTGAGCGCCTGTGCAGCCGAGGATGTCGTACTTCGTAATCAGGCTGGTTTAGGGTTTCTGGTTTAGGAGTTTAGGGTTCAGGGTTTCTGGTTTAGGAGTTTAAGTTTTCGGGTTGGTTTCGACGTTCTGGCCGTCGTGCAACTATTCGGCTGCGCATGCCTGCACAATAGCCAGGATTCTCAAAGAGTTGGGGACGGCCCAAAATGAAGATGTGACAAGCCCCTCATCATGTGGATCGGATCAGCCTTCGGAGCCTTAGAGTTTCAATGCTTTCGCAGACTCCAAGCATTCTCACTTTGGTGCTCCTTCCCCCACAGCCACTCTCGGACGTTCGAGTTTTTGCCCGTTTCGCCCCACGGCACCGATGGCAAAGCCGGTTGTCGCGATGGCGCGGCCAAGAATGCGTGTGTTGAGGCCAACTGCGGGCAATGGCAATCCACCGAACCCTAAACCCTAAACCCTAAACCCTAAACCCTAAACCCTAAACCCTTCATCCACGGGTCGTAGCACTCGGAACAGGATCCAGGCCAGGCTCCATCTCCGGATGCCCCGGGCCAAACTCTCACACCAATTTCAGGATCTTTAGACTCTTGGACCGGGCGACCTGCCCTATCGCCTGGCGATGGACGCGTCGGCCGCATCTCCGGGTGCAACAGAGTTCGGAGTTTTACCCATTCTCGGATGCAGCCAAAGCCGACAAGCTCGCCGGAGAAACGAAAACATTGCAAAGAGGCGCTTGCTTGTGGCACACTCTTCATTCACAACGGGAGTGCGCCGTTTATCATGCCGTCTAGACGGTCCAGTCAGCAGGCGCAGATAGATGCACATAAGGTGTACGGGTGTCACTTCAAACCCCGGACTTTCTACGTTGCAAATGCGCCGGCGACGGTGGCGACGACGACGAGCAGAGGAGGGACGACTACTGTCTACAGGGACGTCGACACATGCCGGCATGATTTCACGAAGACATATGCATCACGGCGTCGGTGGATGTTGTTGTCGCATGAAACATGAATGTATCAATGTTTCATGCTTCCACAGACCGACTATCCGAAGAAATCATGTTGCGAGAAAGTTCCACACTCATGTTTTTCGCATTGAGATACAGTGTATGAGCCAATAGACCTTCGATGATCTTTGATCTCCTTGCTCAGGACTGCTTGCATGACCGCCAGATCTCTGTCAACAAATGCTGAAGCGCCCGAAGTTGAAATGACTGTCGGGGTCTTTCTAAGAGTCGTAGCCACCTGGCCTCCACTGCTTGTGCATTCCATGGAGCTTCCTCAGAGCTGCAGTGGGCCGCACTGGCTCAGCAGGTAGGGGCTTTGAAGCTGTTGGCCTACCAAGTTGAAAACAAGGTTGTACTGTAGAGTTTGGAGGGCTGATAATGAGTCTTAGGGCTGCTGCCGCCATGGATTTTTGCTGAGACCGCGGTGCTGCCAAGATGCGGCCTCAACATGCGCAGAGGTGCCTCGGTGCCTGGGTCGCACCGTTGGGTGCACCTACCTGCATCTTAAGAAATTTCTGCGACCTTGGCATTGCCTTGGCAAAGATTGCAAGCCGTGGGAGACCTGAGGCGCTTGTGTGCCTGGAATTCTTCGGTGTCTCTGCCTGCGACTCTTGCTTCGCAGGATTCAGTGTTACTGGGACTGCAGGCATTAGATGCTGCAGCGTCCTGGATTATTCTGTGTCTGTTCATGTCCTTGAATGCTGCCTGGCACGAACGGCCCCCAACTCTAGGAGCTGACCACGGGGGGGTTCTGAGGTTGTCTTCTGAGACTTTGGGGAGTACAGAGCGTCAGTTTAAGGATAGCAACATGTAGCCAGGGCGGCGGCACAACGGCTTTCCCATTTGCCAGCCTGCACACTCAATAGGCACAATGCCAAGCCGCCGCTTCAAGGCCTTCCCTGTGTAGGCTGTCCCAGAGCCAAAGCCTGTTCGGGCGGCCTCTGAATGCGAGCGGCAAGAAAGGCCGAGGAGTGCGCCAAGCAAAGGGGCCGAAAAGCATGCCGAGACCTGCACCTGCAAGCGACGGATATGACATAGGTTGCGGTGTTGACCGAAAGTGTGTCCTGATGCCGCGGCTGGCTCAATTTGCAGGTCGCATGGCCTGACATGTTCACTCTTTGCTTTGTCTCCCAAACTACATGGATCTTCACGGTTGCAGTGCGCCCAGCAGTCGACCTAGCGGCCACGGGCGGAGCAGGTGAAAGCAGTGACACTGACACTGGCTGCTTGTATGCAGCCAGGCCGACACTTGGCCGCAGTGCGCGTTGTGTCTACAGACTTCTCCCTCCTCCTGCTTTCCCCGGAATTCCTGTTCGCAAGGCTAGTTGTAACAGAGGAGGGAGGCCCGAGACAGCTCTTCTGCCGGCGTGTACAACCAAGGAGCAATGCAGAAGAGTTCGACTTTGCGTCCCTCGTTTTGGAGAGCCCGCGCTTCACTTTCTTCCATGCGCAGGAATTCTTTCTGTCCCGTGAGGCCGCCTGCACGAGACCTGTGGATGATATCGAGCCACAACTCGTGCCTGTGAACACCAACGCGAAAAGAGCGCAGCTCCAACAGCGCTTCGTGGTGAAGCATATCACGGAGTCGCTTGCCACCCTTGTCAAACTGGATGCTTCAAAAGCCAGGGACATCAAAAAGACGTTCTTCTCCAAGATGGGTCCACAAGAGCGAGTGCCTCCCGTAGAGCTCCATCTGTTTTCGGAGGACCCGCAGCAGGTCAACTCCACATGGAAGGCTCTGCTGATCCCGCGGGCACGAAAGATTTTCGGACAGACCTTTTACCTGTGCCGGGGGGAAGGCACTGCCCAGTTGTTGGCCGAACCCCGTTGTGTGGCGAAGCTGTCTTTTGAGCCCCTGCCTCTGCGCCTCATGCATGTCATGGGCATGTGGAGCCCCAGTACGGACCGACTTCGCTCCATTCCGCATAAGCTCGTAGCGTTCATGGAAGCGCTTCTGCTGGCCTCGGCCGCCTTCGTCGCCTTTCAGGTTGTGGACTCACTGTGCAGGCTGCTCACGCTTGCCTGGGAGCAGTACCACTTGCCGCCGGAAGATGAGCACTGCCAGAAGCTTCGTGAGCATCAGCTTCCGAAGGCTTTCGTGCTGACCCAGCACTCCTATGTGTACAAGCTGGCAGGTGAACGCGAACTACTACAAGCGGAGCCTTTGGATGCTTGCCGAAAAGTCCGAGTGATGGAGATGGCGGAGGCAAGTCGCGAATGGCGTGGCCTGGCCGATGAGCTGGTGCATAGAGTTATCCATCGGACAGAGACCTCGCTGTGGGGCCGCTTGCAGTCGCCAGACGGCTGGATTGTCCTGTCCAACAGCGCCCAGGATGTTCGCGTTCTGGACGACGAGGAGGACCTGCCCGCGCCCTTTTGTGCAAACACGGCGCTGCTGGTGCCGTTCACATCCCTTCTGAGGCGACAACTGATCCTTGCTACCGGCCATGCTTCAGCGCAGTGGTTCTTGCTTGACCGCTTTTCCCAGATGTTTGCCATCGCCAACATCATGGCCATCTCGATCAGTCTCTTCGTGATCCATGTGGTGGTGTTGTGGCAGACGGAGATCCTGAATGCGTGTGCGCTCCGCTATGAGCAGGTGCTGAAGTCGCAAAACAAGCTCTTGCCGCTTAGACAGCGTAAAGAAGTGTTGCCCCTGCTGGCCGTGGCCTCGCTAGTTCTCTTGCTTGCATTGACGTCTGGCATCTTGAGCTCCACGACAAAGCAGCATAAAAGTGCTGCCAACGCCACACTTCCTTGCACTACTTTGTTCGCGACGGTAGCACTGCACCTGCTTGACCTCTACTCCTCCGTCTCAGGTCTCCAGGCATGGAGAGCACCCCAGCTCAGCGCGACGGAGTTTACCCGGGTGTCTTCTGAGGGCTTGGAGACCACGGACACCAATGCCGAAGTGCCCGCATTATCCCGTGCCCGCAGATTTCGCAAGCAGCTCGTGCGCCTGTTGACCAGCCTAGTGGCTGTCGGTGCCCTGAACATCCTCATGTTGATCGTGCTGGATGGTCTGCAGATGCGAGGCGAGCTCGTGGACTATTCTTTCAACCGTGGCTACACGGCCATCCCGCCACATTCGCAGGCATTGCACAACACGCTGCTGCTGCACAAGGATGTCGATGCGGTGTCCTTTGCCTATGAAACGGGTCCCTTCACTTCGCAGGTCAAATTGCGCCTGGAGCACCCCCTGTTGGACATCAAAGAAGCGACCGTCTTCGATTCTGAGGCTGCCGACTCAACGGAGAGAAAGGGTGGTGAGTACACCGTTTCCATGCCTGCTGGCCCCCTCTACAGCCGCTTGGTCGTAGAGGCGTCGAGCCACCTCCATCATCAGCCGACAAAGTATGTCGTTCACCTTCTTCGCATCGGAGAAGCCGTGTCGCTGTCCATCGATGGCCCCATGAATCCAGCTCACTTCGCAGGGGCCAAGATCGCATCTGTGACCTTCAACGAGACCCGGAGGTGGCAGTACCAACTGAACAACCCTGTTTGGTACGTGCCGGACCTAGACGTCACAGCCAACAGTTCCTTTCAGCTGTCATACCTCCCCATCATTTTCGCACCGCTGATTGGGCACCACGAACGTGAGGCGGGCGACTTCGTTGGCTTGAGCACTTTCTCTCGGGTCTGCCGATGTGGAAGGGAAGAGCCTGGCTTTGGAAATGCCTGTGCCATGGAAGAAGTCATCACCCTGCCCGGTGGCGACGAGCTTTGCGTCTTCCAGCGCGGTGTAAAGCAACAGCTCGTGGTGGAGGAGAGCGACGGTAGCATGTCCAGCAATGCCGTGCGCCTAGTACAGTGGCTGGTAGACGTGGATCTGAGCGGCAAGTATGCCGGCCTCCGGCTTGCAGACACTGACAAGCAGCTGGGCTTTGTCATGTCGCTCAAGAAGACGACGGCTCGCTCCGAAGACCAGGCCAGCACCACAGTCCGTCCGCAACTCGCAAGTGTATTTCGGGCCTCAGTCTCAACCGAGCTGTTGCTCGCACAAGCCACGCAGGTAGTCTTCGCCCCCACACAGGACATGACAGATGCAGAGGCGTTGAGCGCGCCGCTCAAAATAGTCTCGCACACTCCCCCGATCCACTTGAGTATGGAGAGTGCGAACGGTTCTCGTGGCTTCTTCCTGCCGGAGCCCAACGCAGCCGACGATCGTACCGACTTCGCGGTTTGCCTCGTTGGAGACCTTGCCGGGGTGAAGGGACGTGTCGCTAACAACGACTCACGCTTCGAAGTCGCGGTCATGGAAGTGAGCAAAGGCCACAGCTGCGACGAGCAAGCAACTGTGAAGCGGAAACAGTTCAAGACGGTTCGCAAGCATGACCCATCTTGCGATCCATACTGCCCCTTCTACCGACCTTGGGCAGATACCTACGACATCTCTGCTACACTGTCGGCTCCTTATTGCTTCGACCAGGCGATCAATGTCGATGACATCAGCGCGTTTCGCAACATCTCGAGCTGGGTTGAGGAGCCCGGAAGAAGGCACATTTTTGAGGCCTGCGGTACGCTGCAACGGGCCTTGGAGGTCAAAAGGACGTCTTTGGCTTCAGAGATGTTGAGCTCGTTGGGCGCAAACCCTGACGGAGGTGTGGACGTCTCCGAGACACCTCTGCAGGCCTTGGCTGCTCGTGGAGACATCGAGTCCATGCGGTTCCTCCTGCGGCACAATGCCAGCGTCAATCACAGCAGCTCCGACGGCAGCACGCCCTTGTTCGCGGCTGCGCAGAACTGCCATGTTCGGGCCGTCCAGCTTCTCTTGAACGAGAAAGCAGATCCCAACCACCTCATGGCTCCCTTTAAAGGGTCGCGGCTGGGGCCTCAGTTGCCAAGCAGGTGACATGGGACCCACGCTGAGGTCGTGTCTTACAAGCGATGTCTTTGTGCGTTGCATGCCGAGGTGCCATGTCACGCCGTTGCTGTCGCTTTTCAGCAAGGGCACCAGGTCGAAGGATTGCGGTGGTGACAGGCTTAACGTCGTTGTGCGAGCGCTTGTCGAGGGTGGCGCGAAGCTGTCTGTGGCCCAGAAGACTTGCGGCAGATGCCAAATGCAAACGGTTTTGATCGCGGCCTTGGAGAATGATGATGTGCCTGCAGTGAGGGAGCTCTTTCGGCTGGGGGCCAAAGACATCGCCAACGCGGCTGGCTGCATGAACGGCCACCCAATGACACCCTTTGCCTCGATTTTCGCACTCTTTGACTCTCAGCCGGCTTTGTTCAAAGAGCTCGCCGGGTTGTTGAAAGATAACCATGCCGATGTGGATGCGAGCGTGCGGATCCCCGTCGCCTTCCTCGGGCTGCACACCCCTTTGATGGAGGCCGCTGACAAGTGCCGCGCAGACCTCATCGCTGTGCTCGTCGCCTTGAACGCCGACCCTGCCAAGTTGGATGACGAGAGCCGCACGGCCGAAGGCCATGCCGAGTCTAGCAATTGTTCGAACTTGCAAGAGATTCGGAAGTTGCTCCGCAACTCCAGCCGAGGCGGTTAGGAGAGAGAGCAGGAGGCCGACGGGCTGTGCCATAGTCTGGCCGAAAATCACGCCACCGTTTCCAGCACGAACAGCACTCATCAGTTGCTTGCCACGATGATGGTGTGCCATGCTACAGTAGGAAGACACTTGCCGAGACGTTTCTGCTGCGGTTAGCCTTCGACTTAGGCATCAGTCTTTGTCAAAGTTTCGTCTTGTGGACCTGACGTCGACCGGCCTCAGCGCAAAGTGAGGCTCGTGCCGCAGCTCGTCTAGTGGGAAGCCCCAAGTCTTGCAAACACCGACGTTCAACCGTAAATCTCAACAGCTTGCACTTGGACAGTTTGGCCAAAGCGGTTGGCTTTAACAGTCACACATGCCCATGGCCTGTCGGCACCAGTACACCAATTTGATTATGCAGAAGCCGGGGCCACAGCATGCAACAATCAGCTTTGGCTCATTCGCTGAACTGGTGTCGCCGATGAAAGGTTTTAATTGCGAGTTCGTGTGAGTTCATGGTTTTCTGCCGAGGTCTCATTCAATCCATCCTTCGTCATGGTCTGAATCGTCGCGCGGAATGACAGGTCGTGCCAGTCACGACGGTGGCAAGCACGTAGGCCAGACTACCTGTAGCATATGTAGATTGTAGATGATGCTCGGGAGGACCGCGGCTAGGAGTCCAGCAGACCTTCCCAGATTTGCCTTGTGCATTTTTGGCAGCCTGCAAGGTTGAAATCCCGCAGGTAAGTTTTGTGCAGCACGCAAGCAGTCGAAGGCGCGTAGCTTCTATATTTCCCTCCGCGCGTCTTGAGAGGGGCGGGTCGGTTTCCATCCGTAGCAACTACTGTGCATACGGCTGAACTCAGGTAGCTCCGTGACAGCACCCATGCTGTCGTGATTGCAAGTCCACGACTGAAATGGCGCGCTTCTGCTATGGACATGACAAAACACCAAGCGTGGCACGTAGCGAATATGTCTCTGCATGTTCCATGAGGCCACAACCCCGCATCAGCCGAATGGCCGGAGCGAGTAGAATCTGGCACACAGCGGATGATGGAAAGCTTTTCCGGCTTTGCGCTTCGCATCCCTGGCAGTTTTGCACGGGCGCGAGGTGAGTGGGGGGGGGGGACCGCTTATCGGGATACCACGTTCTTTCGGCTCCAGAAGAAGCCCTAATTCCGCTAGTTTGCTGGTTGTCTGAATGCTCGTATGCATACTGCTGGGTGCGCTGCTGGCACCTGGCGCGTCCGCCGCGCGCCCTGCGCAGCAGGCCTGGGGGGCATTGCAGAGCCACCAGGAGGTACACGCAAAGCGGGCCGGACGGCAGGCGGACTGCTGCAGTGAGACCTGCGCCTGGAACGGCCTTATTTGTGCCTCCTGGCCGCTCTTCTCCTCAGACGACAAGGAGCTCTGGCTCGCGGAGTGCTGCACCGACGATGTGGATATGGAGGAGGCCGTGAAGAAGGAGCTGTGTGCTGCCGTGAGCCCGGAGCGGAAGCAGGCTGCGCTTGCCAAAGCAAGGGAGGCGGGACTGCTACCCCAAGAGGAGGAAGAGGATGAGGAGATGGGGACACAAGAGCCGAGTGAGGGAGAGACGGAGCCTGCAAGAGAGGAGCAGCGGACGACAGGTGCGGGCATCGAAGCCGCGACCACCAACACCACCAACACCACGCAGGACGTGGACGAGAAAGAGAAGCCGAAGCAAGAGAAGCCGAAGCAAGAGAGGACGCGCGGGCAGGGCTGCCCGAAGGTTTTCCAGCGCATGCTTTCCGCACAGGCTGCAGCTGCAGACCGTGCAAGGAGGGTTTTTCCAGTCATGGCCTCAGCCAACCGCTTCTGTTCGGATTTGATGCAGTTCGCCTTCGAGCAGTCCCAGAAGTCAATCGCGCCTGAGATTGAATCATCACTTAGGATCACATGTCTCTTTTGGAGAAAGCCGGGCAGAGCTGTAAGCGGCATGGCACATTCCACGATCCACTTCGGAACTTACATACATGTCGCGCCTCCTTTTCACGAGTCCCCCCAGCAATGAACACGGGAACGTAGACATCGCCCTGATTTACGTAGTTGTTGCCACATGGCACCATTTTGTTTATGCCATTTACGGGTACTCGGCTCTGCTGGACACTGCTACGTCCGTATTCACTAAAGCTCAATTTCCCTCAGTCATTAGGCCTTCAACTTGAGGACCCCGAGCCGGGACCTGGAAATGACAGCGTGGCGGCCATACTTCGCTTGTACAGCTCAGACGACTGCGAAGGCGACCCACACACGGAGATCAACCTTAGAACTACCAGCGAGAACCACTGTCACGGCTGCCTGGACCGCTGCTCGTCGGCAAGTTCTGGCTTTCGCTCCATGAGGCTTGAGGGCGGTCCCGGCGATGCAGCTGCGGTGGCATGGAACTGCGTTGGCAGTTACAACAGCTACGATTCTGCTGGATTCGCGCGGGGAGGGTTGGTACAAGCAAATGCGGGCTGTCACTTCTCGCGAGGCGGGGGAGCTGTGGTGCTATGCTCAGCCGACTTGGCAAATGACAACTATCTCCAGGAGCTGTCGGCCACTTGCGGGGCCTTTTACGCACCAGCAACAGGCGACGCAGCAAGTCGTGTTTCGGACCTTTGCCTACTTTTAACAATCTTTGCACCACCAAGAACCCGGTCCAACAAATCAGCGCTTTCCCTTGTGCTGACCATGCCACTGTGTCGCCAATGTGGGGTCTTTCGAACTCATCCGATGTGAATCTTAGCTGACCTTGCAATTTCGGGCCCATTCCGGGTGGTAGGACTCATGCTGGATTTGGCAAAGCGCAGTCTGTGCGGGCAGGTAAGATACCCATGGAAGTTTTCCTGGAGGAGGTGGCTCTATCGCAGCTCCGGGCCGGCGAGGGCATCTGCCGCAAGGTCCTCACAGGTTCCTTAGGGTCTGGGCCTGAAAGCCAGGAGTGGGCCACGGAGGCCGCAGAGCCCTCAGAGGAGAACGACTTGCTTGTCTAAGTCCCCGAACCACAGCCACACAGCTCCCTCAGCCAGAGCCGCCGCGCAGGACGGAAGCCTGCACAAGCTCGGGCGCCTGCAGACAGTGAAGCAGAGCCCCATGCGGCCCGCCTGGGCTTTGGAGCTGTCCCTACGAGAGGTTTGCAAGGACGAGTGCAAGGACAATGATGTTTTTTCAGATTGTATGATGCACACCCTGCAGCCAACTGTTCTAGCTGTGGTCTGCGCCACGGGCCACGGGCTTCTTCGCCACTTTCGGTCTGCACGCCAGGAGCTCGTCCAGGGTATCCGTGACGAGGTGGACCACATTGTGGAAGATCTGCAGAATGCCAGCTTCGCCGAATCCTGTGCCCAGCGCGTCGTGAAACGCGTGGAGGCCCACATCCTGGGCTGCTGCGCCGACAGCTGCGGCTGGAACGAAAAGACGTGTGTGTGGTGGCCGTTCTTCAGCCAAACCCAGCGTGCGCAGTGGGAGGACGAGTGCTGCGCGGAGCAGAACATCTTGGAGGGCTCAGAGCGGGAGAGGATGTGCGATGCCACCTTGACGAAAGAGCAGAAGGAAAAGCTGCCCAGGTACAGCATGAACAAAGACATTAACGGTGCCCTGATCGGCCAAGACAGGCTGGTGTGGATGCCCAGCGGTGTTCCCCATGACAGGAAGGACCGCGCAGTGAGCGGCGATACGGTGTCCAACAATTTTCTGCTGAACTCCGATGTCTCCGCTCGGCAAGGCATTCGTGACAAGTGGTGGCAGGTCGGGGCGCCAGCCACCGAAAGCTCTCTCTTGCAGCACCATTACGGCGAGCACGGCCAGCGGGGCCTTCGCAGCCACTCTGCTGGGCTCTCCCAGTGCCTCGAGCCTTTCAAAGCCATGAGCGTCGCACAGGAGCTGGCAGGGAAATGGATGATGATCCCGGCTTCCTATTTCCCCACAGCGTGTGGCACTCCTAAGGCGGAAGGGCAAGGGCCGGACGATTTGGGAGAGGCCTGCATGGCTTTCAAGCAGAACGCGAAAGGTGATCCGGTCTGCTTCGACGTAGTCCTCGACGTCAACAAGAAGGCTTCAACGACAGCATGGAATAAAGTGTGGTACCTTGCGGACGAAATCACTGAGAATTCAGCGGACCACTTGCAAACCATGCGAACGTTGGTCTTCCTGAAACAGTCGCTACGACCCTGAACATCCATGAACCATTGACAACGAGGTGGCTCTTGTCGGAGATACTCCCATGGCGGCATCATGCAGCGAACCGAGGCTTGCTAGAAAGAAGACCCTGCGCGCCTGCACCACAGAATTTCGAGACCAGGGGTTTGGGTTTAGGGTTCAGAGGGTCTCCAGTCGGTGACATTGGGTTGCGGGCTTGGGTTTAATTCCATGCAAAGGATGAGAAGCAATCAGAGAAGTGTTGCAGTGCAGATTGTTCTTCATGCTTTTCAGTTTGCATGCTTTTGGCTCCGAGAAGTCGTACTTGTCTTAAGCCAAAGAGACAAAACATTCCACCAGGCACGCAGCGCGTTCTCATCCGTTCAGAAGATCGAAATACAACTTGCACTCAGTCGGTGTGCTAGGTGAGCTCGTATAAACAACCCTGCATTTCCCTTCTGTCTCTCCCGAGTTGTGTTGCAAGCAACCGCCGAACGAAGTCTTAGTTTGGGTGCGATGGGGCAGCGCAGGCTCACAGTCGCAGGGCCCTTGGGGAGGGCTCCATGTACCACAAATTTTGTTCTCAGAGAATCGTCATACAACCTGTTTAGCAGAGTCCGTGGAGGTCACAAAAGCCAGCAGATGTAGGCTTTCGTATGGTTCTTCTTTAGCAGGTAGCGCCGGACGCGCCGGACGAATAGTGGCCGTTTCAACAGGGTGTGGCCAAAAAGGGGCGCATATCAACGTGGCTTCAAGCACCGACGCAAACTCCCGGCAATGTCTCCGTGGACGAGTACCGCAAAGCAGTGCAGAGTTGAAGCTCTTCAACTGTTGGCCTCGAGCGCATGTCTAGCGGCTCCAGCACCCACACGCTACACCCTACAGAAGCGAAAGAAGCTAAGTGCTCTGGTCCTCCAAACCTCGATGCCAAGTGCTGCAGCGCCACCCTAAACCCTAAACCCTAAACCCTAAACCCTAAACCCTAAACCAGTTCCGAGCCCTAAGCCCCACTACCAGAAGCCCGAGCCCAGAAGGGGGCCTCCGAAGCCACCGTAACACCCGGAACAACAAACCCTGAGTGCCACGAAGCTACCCTAAACCCTAAACCCTAAACCTTAAACCCTAAACCCTAAACCCTAAACACTACAGCCCTAAAGCCCTAAAGCCTAAACCCTAAACCGGAAGCCAACCGGCCCCCAAAGCCAACCCCGTGAGTCCACCTGTCCTCCGCGCGCCTGTGCGGGCCGAAGCGTCGGAGACCCGGTTTCTACGGTGTCCAGAGAACGGAGCCCTGTACGTTTCGAAGCGTTTGCTTCCGAAAGTACAGCAGCTGCTTTGGGAACTCCCTTTGTAGCCGACTCCCTAAACCGTAAAGCCTACGTAAACCTTAACGGGGTCAGTATGTTCGGTGGATGCCGCGGTTGGAGCTCTTTTGAGCTTCCCGGCTGCTTCTACCGAAGCCCGAAATCCAAGACCGTTTGAGCTTGAACGCGCGGTCTTGGCGTTACAAACTGCAGGTCCATGTGCGGTTGAAGGTGACGGGGATCAGGATTTAGGAAGGCAAGCTTAGGGTTTAGGCTTGGGGTTGTAGGCGGGGGTTCAAGCTTGGGTGTTAGGGTTTCGGGCTGAATCATCCTCTTGCCAGGCAGCTGTCTGAGACGCGTCTACTCTTCCTCGCAGCTTTACGGAGGATTTCCCAGAAAGTCCCCCGCAATTCCATGGAGTGCAGAGCCTTTCTCCGAATCCTCTGCTTTCTGGCCGGATGTGCGTTCATCGAAGGTCGGGAATCGAGGAGACCCGGGGAGTCGCATTTTGAGGCTGCCATGAAGTTGTGGGCATCCTTGGACCTGGGAGACCGCTTCGAGTTTAGGGTTTAGGGTTTAGGGTTTAGGGTTTAGGGTTTAGGGGTTTAGGGTTTAGGGTTTAGGGTTTAGGGTTTAGGGAGCGGCCCCGAGCGGACCTGCGAAGTGCAGCTGGAGTCGGGGTCTGGCCGGGGCCATCGACGAAAGCTGGAGTCGGGTCATCCAGGGGCTCTTGCACGAGGATCCTTCTGGCGAAAACCTTAAACCCTAAACCCTAAACCCTAAACCCTAAACCCTTGCACGAGGATCCTTCTGGCGACAGTTTGGCCCCCCTCTTGCAGCGCCAGTTTCAGAAGCACTCCACCCGAAATCAAGCCCCGGTGACCAAAGTGGGCATGTTCGACAGCGGCCTCGGTGGGATGACGGTGTACAAACGCTTAAGGCAGGACTTTCCTACGGAAGTCTCCTTCGTCGCGGATGATGGACGTGCACCATACGGACCACAACCGCCCGCAGATGTCGCAGACGCCTCTCGCGAAGTGCTTCGGTTTCTGAAGGGCGCCTTGATTGCATGCAACACGGCTTCCATCGCGACCATCGCTTACAATGTCGCCGATGAGGAGGAGTTCGCCCAGCTGCCCATCCTACCGATTGTTCCGCCCTACGGATCCTTCTTCACTGCGCTAGGACACTTGGGCAGTTGCCGGAAAGTCGGGATTTTTGCTACGGACGCAACTTGCAGCTCTCAAGCTTACCAGAGGAAGATCCTGAGTGCGGCCGGCTTCTCCATCGTGCCGAACAGGGTGGACACAGAGGCCTTTCCTCTGCAAGCCGCGACCACGAACTGTATCGGCTGCGCGGAGTGCGTGAAGGCTGTTCAGCGCGAGGCCCCCTTCGACAAGGAGGCCACTTGGGAGCAGGACACGGAGGCGATGCTTCGGCGTAAGTTTGCTTCGTACTTCCTGGACGGCGTGCCCGTGATTAATTTCCTGATCTTCGGGTGCACCCATTTCCCGATCCTGGAGCCGCTGGTGCGGAAGGTCTTCGGCGAGGGCGTCGCGCTGATAGATCCGGCTGTGTACCAGGTGAAGCTGGCAGCAGAATTGGGGATCTCCTCGTCCAGGAAGGGTGAGGAGTTCTCCGTCTCTGCTGCTCCGCACTCCTCCAAGCTGGCCACCTTCCGCAACGCAGCGCGTGCCATCGAGCTGAACTACTTGGACCTCAGGAAGCCCCAGAACTGGACTGTGGTGCCTTTGAGCAACATGGGAGGTCGACGATTGGACATCCTTGTGTGAGCAGGTGCTGCAGTGCATATGCAGAATGATTAGTTGCTTTAGGGTTTAGGATTTAGGGTTTAGGGGTTTAGGGTTTAGGGTTTAGGGTTTAGGTTTAGGGTGTAGGGGTGTCCTGCAGTGCGCCCTTGTTTCACAGTCAAAGCATGCAAATCGACTCTGGGCATCGCTTTGGCCATTCCACCGCTGATCACAGAAGTTGGTCAGTGGCTGCATGCTGTCTCGGCGAAACCACCAGAGAACCGAATACCCCCTAGTTAAGGAATATACCTAAAAGTTTCTATAACTCAAGGTATATTGCTTAATTACTTGGTATTGGGTTCTCTGGGCAAGCATCCATCGGACAAGCTTCAAAGAGCTTCCAGCATCCGAGGTTTGAACTCTTCCTTGCATCATCGTGTCGTGAGTTGATGTATGACGAGTCAGTACCCATTTGGGTAGTTCTCTAGACCCTAATGTAGAGAACTGCTTTTTTTTTCCATGTGGGGTACTGCGCATAATAGAGTATAACATACCATAATGGACTATAAGAATACTGTATACCAGGATCTAATATACTAGACCACAATCGACTAATCAAAACAAACCTTAACCTACCAAAACCCACTTTCTTGTAGTTTCTTATTAAACCCTGGTTCAAACCCTAAACCCTAAACCCTAAACCCTAAACCCACTTTCATGTAGTTTCTTATTAAACCCTTTGTCGAGGGGCAAGAGCTGCAGCCGAGGTGACATTTCTGCCAGCGACCAGCCAGGTGGCTTTCGGGTTTGAGTGACTTGAGTTTCGGATCTAAAGGTTCTTGGTTTAGGGTTTAGGGCTTGGGGTTTAGGATGGGATTTTGGGCTTGAGGTGGTATGCGGACGCAGAGTAGGTACCAACGCAAACATAAGCAAGTCGACCTTGATGAGGGCGATGACAGTGCTTATCTTATCCGCAGTATGGTGACGACGGTCAGGAACGCTTGTTGGCGTGACAGAGGCCAGATGTAAAATAGATTCTAGCTCAAGTTGGGTGTGGTTATTGTTGTTGATGATACCGGTAAGGTGATGCCGATTGACGGTTCCTTTTTCTGATCATGATCACAGCTATGCCACTTCCTGACTGCTGTGTCTGGTCCTTGCATTTTGGGTACGGTCACCGTCGCCAGAGAAGCCTGCTCGTTAGTATTTCAACCTTAAGCATTCAACCCGCCAGGGTTTGTAGCCTAAACCCAACAGGTGACAATATATGAGGGTTTCTGAGACTTACCCTAAACCCTAAACCCTAAATCCTAAACCGTATTCTTTTGGGGTCTTTAGAGAAGGGATCCCCTCTCTGTGGGTCACATGAACGACCCTGCCCGTGCCTAGTGTGAGGGTTGGCAAGATGACGAGTTGGTAGGATGCCAGCTTTTTGTTGTGGGTTTTAGGGTTTAGGGTATAGGGTTCTTGTTGTTCTGTTTTTGGGCTTTAAGGTTGAACAGATTGTAGGCATTGGAGGTTGGGCGTGTGATCTTGAGGTAGCAGGCCTGTTCAGGATTAAGCCATGAAACTTGAACCTTGCATCATAGGCCCAAAAAACTCAACACCAAAGCCTATACCGTAAACCCTAAACCCTAAACCCTAAACCCTAAACCGCCTTGACTCACTTGTCGGGCACATTGACGGCTGAGAACACCGCACGATAACAACATCGGTTTGCCACATGACTTACAATAACCATATGAGAATTGCTACTTCGATGACAACTGTCGGAATGACGATAATTACCACAGATAATGCCGATAAAGACAAAACGTTCACTCATCCGGGACTGAAGTATATGGCCCCGAATAGTCGGCACTGAGGGTCTATATAGATGGAGGGTCTAGGATAGCGAAGTTTTGTTGCATGCAATCTTTATGGTCAGGATTTGGACTCTCCAGGATGCCCCACACATCAAAAATCCCGCAACCCCGGTAACATCTAAACCTGAGCCCCAATTCCGAAGTGCTACACCACAAAAGCCATACCCAGAGCCCCCAAACTGCTCGCTACTTTTCCCGAATCCCCACTACCAGAAAACCCTAAGGCCCAAACCCTAAACCCTAAACCCTGAACCCTGTAACCCCTAAACCCTATAAACCCTAAACCGAATCCCCACTATCAAAGACGCCCTGACCTCCACTTAGGGTGGCCCCTCCTGCCCTCCTCGGCTCAAAGTTAGTGAGTGTGGACCCGGCGGTCATAACTCCCCAAAAGAGCTACCTGAACCTTAACAAACCTACGTTGAAAGGGTTCCTGTTTAGAATTTCCTTATTCACTTCGTTGGAAAGAGGGTTTAGATAGGCACTGGGCACTGGCGAGTCCTTTCAAGAACAAAACCCACCTATCCCACACCCTAAACCCTAAACCCTAGACCCTAAACCCTAAACCCTAAACCCTAAACCCCAACCATCTCTTAAATGGAGGACCCACGCCCCGAACCCGAGGCTCATGCGCCCTCACAACGTTTGTTACATCACACTTTCAGGGCACGCCTATGGTTCTATATTAGGGTCCCTTGAGGGGTACTATAGGGTTCTGGGGTATAATAGGGTCATCATAGAAGAATTGGCTTTGTCAGGTCTCGTGAAATTGAGCATTTACAGATTTTTTTATTTTAGCGTTTAGATTCCAGTGGTCCTCGCAATGATTCGCTTTGCTTCGCCGGGCTACATTGCAGCTGGAGGGAATCTCGTTCGGGCACTAAACCCCTAAACCCCTAAACCCCTAAACCCCAAAACCCCAAAGGCACGTTTAGGGTTTTATGAGGTTTTTGCAGGTGTTGAGAAAGGATTTCGGGTTTACGGCATCAGGTTGCCATCTTTGCGGGCTTTGAGTTTGGGCTTCAGGGTTCCAGCCTTTAAGGATGTTCAGGGTTTCGGGTTTAAGGATGTTTAAGGGTTCACAGGGTGTTAGAAGCTCTATCGTGAGCGCTTACCTGCTTAACTGCTGGGCCCAAACTTCACTTGCAATTTTGCTTGAAGTCGGACATAGCATTGGATCGCCTTCGCAGCTTCTGCACGATTGATGTGTCTCTCAAGGCTACGTTGCTGCTTTAGTCGCTCGTTTTCAAGGTCTCGTCTTGCAGTGCGTCTAGAGTGCAGCTGTCGTGGTTGCATGCAGGTTTCGACCATCTGGTATGCTTTGTTGACATGCTTCCGGGTAGACCCCGAAGCTAAACAAAGCCTTAGACCCAAACCCTAAACCCTAAACCCTAGACCCTAAACCCTAAACCCTAAACCCTAAACCCTAAACCCTAGACCCTAAACCCTAAACCCTAAACCCTAAACCCTAAGCTTACATGGCCGGGACCTTGAAGCGCCCGACTCCACGGCCTCAGCTCGTAACCTTCAACCCCAAAGGCTTTAAAGTTGTACACCCCTACCCTAAACCCTAAACCCTAAACCCTAAACCCTAAACCCTAAACCCTAAACCCCCTAAAGACCCTGACGCCTTAAGTCCCAAGGCCTACGCAAGTCCGAACCTACGGCCCTAAACTCTGTGAAAAGCACAGCACCAGATCCCAAATTCCCAAACCCTAAACCCTAAACCCAGATCAATTTCCTAAGCCCTAAACACTAAAAAACAAGCCCAAATTCCTCATTGCCTCAACCCCAAACGCCTAAACCCTAACAAAAAAACCTAAATTCCTAATGGCCCCAACCCCAAACGCCTAAACCCTAACAAAAAAAACCCAAATTCCTAATGGCCTCAACCCCAAAAGCTAACCTGCAAACCCCCGACATCCTGCATCCTGTCAGTCCCACTTGAGGTTTAGGGGTTTAGAGGTTTAGGGGTTCAGGGGTTCAGGGGTTTCGGGGTTTCGGGGTTTAGTGGTTTCGGGGTTTAGGGGTTTCGGGGTTTAGGCTTTAGGGTTTAGGGTTTTGCCGCCCCTTCCTGTACTGTAAGCCACACCTCCCTGAAAGAACCCTAAACCCTAAACCCTAAACCCTGAACCCCTAAAGCACCCCTAGCCAAAAGCCTAAACCGAAGCTTTAACCCCAAACTTCTAGTACTCATAAACACAAACCCCGCAACCTCTGAGACCCGAAAGCCCCAACAGCCCTGAGCCTTTAGGGTTTAGGGTTTTGAGTTTCTAGGGTTTAGGGTTTAGGGGTTTAGGGGTTTAGGGTTTATGGTTTAGGGTTTAGGGGTTTAGGGGTTCAGGCTTTAGGGTTTAGGATTAAAGCTCTGAGTTGCCAAAGCACCAAATGCCAGAACCCGGGCGCCAGAGAACCAATACCCCTTAAATGAGGAACATACCTTAAAACATAGGGGCCTTAATATTGTGATTTAGGGTATATGCCTTAATTCCCTTATGCCCCAAACCCTAAACCCTTATAGATCTCTTTAAAGAGCCCTCTAAGGTATATGCCTCAATTCAGGGGTCTTGGGTTCTCTGGGGGGCCCAAGGATCGGCTTGACGGTCCTCCGAGTGCTCCTTGGATTCCTTCGGCTTCGGTACGCCGGGTCGGTCTGAGGATTCCTAAACCCGAAGCCCTAAACCCTAAACCCTAAACCTTAAACCCTAAGCCCTAAACCCTAAACCCTAAACCTTGGGGTTCAAGTTTAGGCTTTAGGGTTTAGGCTGTCAGAGTTTGGGGAAGCTTGTCAGTTTAAGGTCAGGGTCAGGATCTATTTCGTGGTTTGAGCTTTCCAGTTCAGGTCAGGGTGCGAGGTTAAGTTGGGTCTAGGGGTTTTCTGTTTCATGTGGGTAGTTCTCTAAACTAGGGTCCTTTTTGGGGTCTTGTTTATAAGGGTGCCGTACTAAACTGGGGACTGAAAGAGAGACCCGACTTGACAGAACTGCTCGTATGCCATCTGATGTTGCGCACCCTATGCTCGGCCTCGCCCGACACCCTTCACCTTGCCAACCCTAAACCCTAAACCC